GTGCTTCTATTTTCAAAGAAATTAAGTAAAAAATGTAAAAAAATTAGAGCTATCCATGTAACAGGCCATGAAGGCCCATAGGGTTGTGAGACGTTGAGGCTCCCACATTTTCTCTAAAAATCGGCACAAAGTTGGCGGTAAGGTTGTCAGCCTTACGCACCGGCCGCCCTTAACCCCAGACAGATTCCTGGTACTAATTTCTGTTAGAGGCTGAATCTACACCAGGGCCATAGTGCGGCTGGAAGGATTAGGTAAATTAAAAAAATCTACCTCATTGGGACTCGAACCTGCGACCTTTCGGCTTGTGTCACAGTGTCTAAACCAACTACGCTACAGCGTGACACAAACACTAATTAAATATAAACAATATTCACTACGCGGAACTAAGCTGATATCTGTCAATTTGTTAACTTTATATTCACACTAAGAACAATGTGCAATATACTGCCAGTTCTCCAAATGAATATATCTGAAGCATATTGGTTTTTATTCTAAACGAAATTGATATCTCAGCATTCTCGTTGCAATGCAGCTTTATGTAGTTCAAATTAAAATTCCTTGACAGTATAGCGTGAAAAGCGTGAATTTCTTGCTATACGAGATAAGAAGCTTTATTAAATTATGAATGTGAAAATTTACACAATTAACGAAAACTAGATATAAAACTTTATATAAACTATAAACACTAGACATGAAGCTATATTTAAATTTTAGATACGAGATATGCAGTTTTACATAGACCTAAACTACAAACACGAGATGAGAAGTTTGTTTACATTATAAATTTCACACAGATATACTGTCAGATTTCAGAGGTATACAACGCATAACATCAAGAGATGTAGCACCTGATAGACATCCAGTAGACACTTAGAATAAAGTTTTGTATAACAAGCTTTTATCATTATCCAGTCAATAAATATAAGCGTTGAAACAGATTAATCGTAAGGGCAAAATAAGGATGGTCCCGTGACTATCGCACTTCCTTTGTCCATAAGCTACGTAAATGATTATATTGTCGCGTGTTTCAGTGACTAAGACGTGGGTTTGGATTGGTGAATTGGTTTATTGGATCTTCACTTGTAGTAATTATAATTAGTTCTTACTCTCAAGGTTACTGTTACTTACAGTACATGTAACGTCACACACTAAGCCTTATAATTCTTCTCCTGACCACACTGTTGTTCCTTTGGAACTTCGTAACTCAAGTGAAGTTATTTCCCATTCCCGTATTTTCTCATATCCTCTCGGCACGGACCACACACAGAAAACACAGCCCCCTACTGTTGCGTAGCTCAGACCACACAGAAAACAAGTCACGTGATAGCCATCTCGACAGTCTATTGGCGCGCTGACTGTTGCCTAGCAACGAGCTATAAACATTCGTCCTCTTCTTGCGTGCGCGTATCGCGGGGTGTTTATCGAGCCGCTGCCTGGCAATGCGTTGATATGTCACATTATTTATTATCTGGATATGATAAAGTGTTGTTAGACAAAACATTACTGTACTAGTATAACTGGACCCACAAGATATGAAAGGACTTGACAATATATGGTTAGTAATTCGAGATACGTAATTCCCTATGCATCATTTTACAGCTTATCGAGCAAAAATATGATTTTGCTCAGATCTCAATAATGTAAGCAGCATACATAACATAATTCAATAATACATTGTGATATAAAAGTCAGAAGAGATATCTATTTCTAGCCAATGACTCGATAAATAGTTGTCTGCTGCAAAAAAATATGTAAGCAAAATAGAGGAGCAGTAGGAAATGGTGTTTTCTGTGCTGTCCGTGTCGAGGTCATATAACGACAACTGGACAAGTCAGTGAGTGGCTTATGTACGCGTGTATAGGAAATAGCTATTTAGTGGGTGAGTGCCTGCTAGAATCGCCCCCATCACACAGGGAGTGACGAGTAATAGATAGACCCCCTCCTCTCGTCGAAGTGAAGGCTTCATTTCAAAACAATTAAAAGTCCTAGAAAGAATAAAATTATGATCATGCATCTCGACGTTATCTGAAATCAAGGTTGACTGTGCTGGCTACAGCCAGCAGCAATTTACCCGACCGACCAGCCACTGAGTTAACAGCCACGACTAGGAGAAGGTCATGAGTTGCAGTTAGTTTCGGGACAGTTGCAATTCAGCATGAATGAAATAGCGGAAGCAGAGGAATATCAATTGTTGGGAGCCGTTATCTAGGAAAGTCTGAAGAAGACCCGGAAGCCTTAATGTTTGCAGTAGTGATCCGAAAAGTGTGTAAACCAGTGGCAGCGTTGTAGTTACATGTAATTACGAGTTATGTTATAAATCCGATTATCACTCACTAACATTGATAATATGAATTACAAGCCGACCTCAAGAAAAACTGAATTTAAATAAAAAGACCAGAATTGGAAAAAGGGGTTCGTTGCTTTTAGGTCTTCTAATATATAGAATGATTACAAGACTCACGCAGAGTTATGAACATGAGGTTTAACTACTATTCTGCTTGTGTTTCATAAAATAAATGTACAGTACTTTTGTCATTATTTCTATAAAGCTGTGAGAAACCATTTTATATTTCATTCTAGTTAGTGGAATGGAGTAGGAAATGAGACGGAGACAGAGATGGGTATAAAACGGCTAGTGTGAAACTAAAATTAAGGATGTGATAATTTATGTGAGGAAGGAGAGATAATGCCGGATATTTCAGGTAGGGTCAGGAAATGAAGTAGCCACACCAGACCAGAGCTAGCGCCATCTAGTTAGGGCTCGTCTGACCTTATTCCGCGGGTGATTAACAAGAACCTAAAAAAAAGTTTCGAACTTCTATGAAACCGGAACATATAACATTAGTTTAAAAAGTAGAGAGTCAAAAGAGAAAAGACGAAAAGAGCAGTTTCGTGTGCTACAATGAATAGCTTTAGAAACAAAAGGTTCGTAGCTGTTTTCGCTAGTCCATCATTGTTCTGCGCCCGTGCAAAGCTATTGATGCGAAGTTCATTTCATTGATGCCTAAGGGAACATTCTCAAAGACACGTTAACAATAAAAAATAAACATTATCCTTCATTCAATTAGTGAATAAATGTGAAGCTAGAATTATAGTTCAACGGACATAATCTGAAGCTACGTGGCAAAGAATGGATTTAAAAATATGTACACTTCACCTGATGTTGTCAGCAAACATAATCCTGTGTTTCTGTATAGATGTGAAACTTTCCCTTATATTAACGTTGGAACATAGATTGAGGCTGTCTGAGAACTTCACCTGATAATGTCAGCAAACATAATCCTGTGTTTCTGTATAGATGTGAAACTTTCCCTTATATTAACGTTGGAACATAGATTGAGGCTGTCTGAGAACTTCACCTGATAATGTCAGCAAACATAATCCTGTGTTTCTGTATAGATGTGAAACTTTCCCTTATATTAACGTTGGAACATAGATTGAGGCTGTCTGAGAACTTCACCTGATAATGTCAGCAAACATAATCCTGTGTTTCTGTATAGATGTGAAACTTTCCCTTATATTAACGTTGGAACATAGATTGAGGCTGTCTGAGAACTTCACCTGATAATGTCAGCAAACATAATCCTGTGTTTCTGTATAGATGTGAAACTTTCCCTTATATTAACGTTGGAACATAGATTGAGGCTGTCTGAGAACTTCACCTGATAATGTCAGCAAACATAATCCTGTGTTTCTGTATAGATGTGAAACTTTCCCTTATATTAACGTTGGAACATAGATTGAGGCTGTCTGAGAACTGGGGGTTGTGAAGAATAATGGTTCTAGGAGAGATAAAGCAATAGGGGACTGGAAAACCTGAATAATGAGAAACTTCAAAATCTGTAGTCTACATAAATATTATTAGGGTGACGACATCAGGGATGATAATATGGGTGAGAAATGTGGCACGTGGGATGAAATGAGAAATTGGAACAGTTATGTTGGACAATTTAAAGTGAATATAGAACTTGGAAGATCTAAACGCAGATGAAAAGATATCATTAAAATGTAATCTTAAAGAACTGTGTTAGAAGGGGTGGAACCTATTTAATCTAGCTCTGGATAGGCACCAATGGCAGGCTTTTGTGTTAACGGTAAAGAACATTCAAGTTCCATAGACTATAGTCAATATCTTGAAGATCTGAGCCATTTTTGGTTTCTCTTGAACTGCCCTGCTCCGTAAAGCTCTGGTTATATTACATCAATTTATATGAGCGTTTATATGACACTGATGACAAATGAAGAATTCGAACAGGATTCGATAGTCACACTTCAGGGAGACAGAAAGTTTTGGAAACCGAAGCATGTGAAAATAAAGAGAAAACCCGTAACTGTCCCCCTTCTTAAGCACAATGCCATGACAACGCACAACAGGATGGAGGTAAATCTCCACGCATTATTCTCCGCGTTAGGTGGCAGTGAATGATCAGTTTCACACTACGGCCGTCTATACTCATGAAAAGAGCCTTAGGCACTCAATAGATAAAATGTCTAATGGGCCCAAACCGACCTGGGTGCAACAGTGAAGACAAACAGTTATTCCCATGGCTGTAACAAAACCCGCGGAATGTTAATTTTAAAATGGATTTCAAAGAACGCGGAACCTTCCAGACTGTTCGATCTCTGTCACTTTATAACCAATTCAAACTATATGTTTCATACGCTGTAGGCCAAAACAGATTTCTTCAGAACTCCGGAAAATCCTTATTCGTTTTGAAGTACACTTATACGGTCTACATACTCGTGCACTGTAACTTTAGTGAATGATTTCCTCGAAACTCTTAATTTATAATTTTTTTTCTAATCAAACCTCGTGTTGCCTTCTCTTCCACTAATAATATTTACGAGATTGTGAACTGATGCCTGAAACAGAATTATTATTAGAAAATATTGGGGAGATATTTACATTTTTTTTCCATAAGAGGCAGTCTGATATAGTTGTGCACATATCCCGAAGATTTATATATTCTTTCAGTCTTGATATATCGGGTTATACTCACCGATGACGGTGAGGTTGATCTGGAAGTTTCTTGTAGGCGAGTTCTTGAAGTCGACGCGACACCGATAGATGCCCTCGTCGTCTAACTGTACCGATTCTAGCGTCAGACCCGCCGGTTTTGAACCCGTCACAAAGTAAGCCCGGGGACCGAAAGCATTACTGTCCGACCAGTACAGCGCCTTGGTAAACGGGCGGCCTCTTACATCAAAGCTGAAACATAGAAAGGAAGCGTTGTGGGTTTATAGAATGATAATCAAAATATATAAACATATTACTTGGAACAAGAAGCCTAACATAGTTCGACATCCAAGATGATAAGGGGAAGGAACATAAAGCCCGCGGGCCGGAAGAGGCCCGAATTTAAATAAATGTGGCATATGGCGATGTACAGATATTACTAATAATAAAACGATTCTTAATCAATTTTGTGTAAATATGGTACAGAAAATATTATAATCAAAATAAACACTTTGGTCTCAGAATTGTAGGTAACTACTGCCACTCTACAGGGCGTTATAACTGAGAAGAATCTTCACTGCTATGAAAACATCAAACCTTATATAGGTCAAGATAAATATGAATATATGCAAGAAATTGATTCAAACGAACATGAATATTTCGGGATAAATTCTATATGAACTTAATGTTTTAATTTACTGTCCTTATACCTGCGCATAAGCCAGTCAAGTGGGACACAATTAAGATATCGTGAAGCATTGCTTAACACCTAGACAACACCTAATGAGAGATTAATATATATTATCAGAATTATTAATTCCTCCATATATATTCATGGGATAGTGCTTAACTAACTAAGCACAGGAACAACATTACATTTGACTATACCTTTATAGTAATTTATTTCACCAGTTTGTTTACAGAATGTTCATTTAGTGTTACTATTTGACAAGGCTGCCGGGGACGGTAGCCGAGCGGTCAAAGGCATGTACTGCCTTCGCTCGCTTGGAAACCGGGATCCTGGGTTCGAATCCCACACAGGGCATGGATGTTTAGTTTGTGTGTGTGTTTATCTGTGTTTGTGTACAGGTAGAGGCCTTGCGACGAGCTGATCACCCACCCAAGGAGAGCTACCGAACGTGTAAGATCTAGAAGAACTGAAATGAACGGAGAAGTTCATGGAGGTAGGCCTAGGCCCACTGGGGCTGTAGTGCCAAGAAAAAGAATATTGACAAGGCTATAAATTCCTCAGTATTTAACTATGAAATGTTTATCGCCTTCGGCGACTTCAAAATAATTCTCACATAATACAAATGATTTCCAGATCTTGATGAAAATCAACATTTTTTTTATTAAACGTGCGATGGTTGCAGGTTACTTTCAAACTCGTGCACTTACGCCTCTTTCTCTCAACAGTTCTTCCAGCGCCACTGACACTAAAGCATGCCACTCTCTTTGTATATTCACTTTCATATCAATGATATCGACTATTGTTGGCAGTTGATTTTGTATTGTTAAGTAATTGTGCTGCCCAACCAATTATTCTTTCGTGAACAGTTTGTCGGCCAGTGATTCTAATCATGTTTTCCGGCCAGAAAATGTAGAACGCATTTAATTTTCTATTTTAAAATTTCCTACAGTTCCTATCACAGGGAACATTGGAAGATATTTTAAACCAGGCGTAGCATTTAAATTGGAAACCACATTGCTCTCAATTCAGGCAACGTTGAAGTGGGTGTGAGTCGTGGATTCGAGTTACCAACAGAAGAGGAAAGAAGCTCTAATTGATTTAAATTCTTTCCATAATTATATTAGAGCCATACGAATTCTTCTGATTCACTTTCAAAAACTTAGTTTGTAGTCGAAAATTAAAATAGTGACCTCAGTTCGTATGGATCTACAGGGCTTCAAACCCTAACCTATAATCCGGGTTAACCATTACTAATCCAATAGTCCTACAAGGACGGCCACGGTAATGGTACAAAGTTAGTTAACTGAATTGTCACCAGGAGTGCTGCTGCATGCAAATTGCATTTACTGCTACAGATATATTTCAGGAAAAATACAAATTTCTAAAATTCTTTATATCCTAGTAGGCCACTTGGAAGTTATTAAGGACATAATAATTGTCCATGCTTGGTTAGGCTCTACTTTTTTGGAACAAAATCATGTTTTCAGCAGGAAATCTTCAGGCGTGTGTATGTGAGGTTGGAGAGAGAGGACAACCTTGCTGTGTGCTGAAAGTAGAGTGAAAGCACGCGAAACTTTTAGTTTTGCTCTTCACGGATGAACGAAAGAGCTGAAGAGGGGAAGTGTGCCAGCTTTTGATATTATTGGATAATAGTGCAGAGATTTTTTACTGTAAAATACAGACCTAAATTTTAATAAAAAGTTGTTTCTACACTTTTATGCATCACTGCTACTGTAATTCGTAGACTGCTAACATAACTGTCAAAAGTACTATTTCGGGAATGGAATTACAGGAATAATTTCGAATAAAAACACTGCCTGATTGCTGATAAAATAGGTTTCTTGTCTAAGCAGTTGAAAGAAGGCTGGCGATTGTTTCACAATTAATTAATAAAGCTTACTTTCTATACGTTCCCTCAGGGACGGTGTTTCGTTCACCCATGACGCCTGTATCCTATCTCTTGAAAGAGGTGAATCAAGTTAACGTGCGGTACGTATGGAGGTAAAGGGCGATAGCATGGCCCTGGACAGCGCTAGCAACGGTGCTTACTTAAAAAATTAATCATAATATTTTTAATGAGTGAACTATATGCAAAAAGTTTTTTAAAAGTTTTGCACATCACAAAACTTTTAACTTTCTAGAAGTTTCTCACGACATGCCTCGACCAATATGGTCATCATCAGGTGTTTAAAATTATAGTTGAGGGAACTGCTGTCCTTCTGTTTTCGTGGCTTCGGTTACTAATTTTTTAATATATGGTCACCTCTATACACTCGTATGTTCCAAGTGCCGGGTTGTTCTTCCCGTTGTATTATGCTATGTGTCTTTCTTGCTAAGTGACGTGCAGCAGGATGCTACGATATAAAACTACGAGAAATAGCCATCCTTAACATATTTGTCTTTCCCGAAAAAAAAAAGTATTCCTGTGAGATCTTACGACCCGTGAGTCTGTGTGTGTCCAAGTCTTTTTTATGAGTGACAGCTATCACGAAACATGGTATGATCATTCTGCATTTAGGATATGCCCAGTTTCATGTACTTAAACGTCCTGTAACCGGTAGTAACAACTTGGCGGATGCATGAACTTGTTCTGTGGGAGTGACAATAGTATTTCGTACTCCAGGGCCGTTAATGTTATAGGCTATGGTAAGAGACCTTCAAATAATTTGGAATAGTTGTCAAAATAATTTCTTATTAGAACGTAAAACAAAATAGCAGCTATAATATATATATATATATATATATAAATTAGCTGTCGCTTTGATATCAATAATTAATGAAGTTTTCGAGTCAGGGATCTAACATTTGATACAGGGGACGATCATCAATATGACTATTACTTTTGTGTGAAATGTTGCTCATAAGTCCACAATTGCAATGGTGACGACCGTAACAATTATTCGGGTTCTGTTCAACAGTTTCAACGTTCACAAAGTTTGCACATAACTAATACATTATTCCCAGAATGATAAAAGTAATTAATAGCATTAGTTGTGATAATAATGATAATGATCACGACAGTAATAATTCAGTTGAATAGAATTCGATTCAATTGGTTTTTCAAGCTTGCCAACAATGAGTGGCCTACAAAAGACCAGCACTGAGAAATACGACATAACAAAAGCTAGGCTAAGGATAGAGCTAGGACTAGACTAAAATTTAATACTAGGCAATAAAATAATACAGTTAACACGATAATGACGTAACTCAGTTGGATTAAGCAAAGGAAAATGCATCCTCAAGGGAGATGTTATGTTTATTGAAAACGTCCAGAGATTTGCAGATGTGGTTTGCAGCTGTGAGACACCTTGTTGAAGGGCGAAGTCTTGAGACATTAGTGATGTTAAAGGTGGAAAAGTCCCTAATTTGATTAGTGGGTACAAGGAACCAACAGTATACTTAATAGAACAGTCAATTTTGCTCTTGAAAACGTCAATAAGAAATGAAGGGCCAAAATTTTGTCGCCTGGAATAAAGTGTTTTAAAATGTGAATAATTCAACATTGATTCATAATTATAAAAGGAGTTGGACTGAATAATCAATTAAAGCTTAAATTTGCAAATTTTCTTTCTATGTTTCCCAGCTTATTAGAATCTGCTAAGTAAGGTTATTCCAGACAGCACGCGCCTACTCAGTCTTTGAAAGAATTAAGGTAAAACTTGCTTACTTACTCGTGGAGCGAAGCCCTTCTTGAGGAGAAGCCAAATCTGCAGCTACTCAAGAATTTCCAAGCATTTTATGGAACCCGAAGGTTCATTAGTGTGTTCACAAGAGCTCTCCACTGGTCCCTATCCTGAACCAGATCAATCCAATCAATACCATCCCATTTTATTTCTCAAAGATCCGTTTTAATATTGTTCACCCACCTATGCCTTGGTCTTCCCAGTGGTCTTTCTTTCTTTCTTTCTCTCTGGCTCTCCCACCAATATCCTATATGCATTCCTTTTCTCCTCCATTCGTGCTACATGCCCTGAAGATAATAAATAAAATAAATAAAAATTTTAGACCTTCCAAAAATTATATGAAATTATCCAAATATATCCAAAAGTATGAAATAAAATATATAAAAGTATAAAACATCCAAAAAATTGATAATATCCAAAAATTATATGTCATGAAAGGAATTAGTCCTGAAAGCATCACTGCCCGAGAATGTAAGTAGCCAACAGTGCGATAAAAATGCAGTTTGCTATCTAACATAACCTCAAGATCTTTTACAGAATCAGTCCTCACGATTAATATATCACCAAGAAAGTAATAAAATGGATAATGTTACTTGTACGAGCAAAGGCAATTATATTTGTTTTGAATTAATTAATTTTCATATAATTTTCAATGCATCACTTCTGAACAGAATCTATAGAGGATTGTAGCAATCTATAGAATCCTCAGCAGTTTTATGAAGTGAAATATTTTTAATTATAAGAAAAGAGCTCAAATTCGGAAAATTAAGTTTTGGTGCATATGTCATTAATAAAAATATCGAACAATATAGGTCCTAACGTGGAGACTTGTGGCGCTCCTGGCGGCATGCTGAAGGGTGAGAAAGACTTCCCTAAGT